AATAATAAAAAAGAGGAGAGTAACTCAGAGACATTCTTACCGTAGTAGCTAAAAGATGGGAATTAACACTACACCCTAATAAAAACATACCATCATCCCTAGATGCTTTCCAAAGTGAATGAAATTGCTTGCACGTGCTAGCCTGTATTAGTAGTAAGTATAATAAACATGCATACAAAAACAAAAACTGAAGGCTGCCACTGCTTATATCCACAGATCTCTAGAAGAAGTGGGGAAAAAGGAGGGGTTGAAGAAGAAGAAAATCATATGAAAATTTCTCTTTCTATCTCTTTCCGGAGTACACAACAATCCATGAATTTTTCTAATCCCTTGTTAGGAGCTACTGACTGACCCATATGCTTTGTCTTTCCTACGAGTGAAAAAGAAGAAATGTTCTTCTCTAAAGCATATTTTGTTTTTGTCTTTGAAACTCGCATCCACCACAAGAGTATCTTTTTTTTATCTTCTTCCTTTGAAAACTATATAATATACGAGTAATTTAAAAGGTGTATAAGTGTAAAGAAAATTATATGAATATAATATATCATATAGTCTGTTTCTTTCTTCTGACCTTCTCTTTGATATTCTCAACTCAAGCATCTCTATGCTCACTTTCAGAAGCGGGGAAAAGACTAAAGATATCTTTGAATATACTAACAGCTAAATTTAGTGGGCCTCACAAATCCACACTTGTTAGAAAGATTGTTTTTTAGTTTTTTTTACTACTAGGAGTATAATTTTAGTCTTTCGTCCCATTATTCTAGATTTGAAGAGTATGATATGGACATTGATTATGATATGTACTATTTTAAAAGTTAGGCTTAACCAGATCCTTAGCATGTGAGATTTCATTTCCTTGGCATGAACGTTTGTTAATTTGTATACATGGAGCCTTCACTGTTAAACCTTATTTATTAATTAGGGCACCCTTTAAGAGCTAATAGGTTGATCTCGGGAATTGGCAAAATTTTGTTGTTCTTAAACCACTTATAAGCCTCTAAAGTACCATTTGATCCTCTTGAAATATCACTACAACCATCCAAAACACCACCACAATTTGCACTCTTATTGATAGTCTTGACTACTAACTTATAAAAGGACAAAGGAAAATTGTATAATGGGTTGAATCTCTGATCAAAATCTTTCCCTTCAGGAACTTAAATAATTTTGTCTTGTATTTCTGTGTTTTATTGTCTGATTACATCTTTTTTCTGTTCTTAGATCACAATATTGGGTTAAATTAAACACTTTTGATGTGTCCTTTTGACTCTTTTTGATCGTACTCCTTATGTTTAAATAGTCTTGTACAGCTATCCATTTTGATTCTCAGAAATGGCAAAAAAATGAACAAGACCAGCATATGCACCATATTATTCTTCAATGTGCATTTTCCACCATGTTTGGCATCTAAGTCTGGCTTGCTCGCCAACATATATGTTAGTGACTCAATTTTGTGGCTGGCTTAAAGCATATTAGTTGAATCGTTATTGTATTGTAGAAGCACTTTTTATGTTACTCTATGATGACAACCTTTCAAAGTATGGGATTTGTGTCTGAAACAAATACTTCCATGGATTTAAAAAAAAACCTAGTAACCGAGTACATAGTGCGTATTCATATGGCTGCCAACCTGCACTAAATTGCTTAGGCTACATTCCTTTCACCTTATCTAAACATATTATCGTTGCATATTGAACTTGAGTAACCCTATTTGTACATTTTGGCCTTAGTTTGACTTATTGTCCAACACAATTACACAAAACACAAAGTTCGTCTCAAAAAGTATCTTGCTTTATGATTGTTGGGTCATATGCAGATATATTCCCTCCCCCTGAGTATTCTCTCCCTTTTATTCTGCATATTGAATTGGTAATTAATTTGAACAACTAGTCTTACAAGAATAAGGAGATTTCTAATTATAGGTATGCTTCTTTTGTTCCACTGACTTAAATAACATAAGATTTATATTGACTTATAGTTCGTGTAATGCATACAGGTTTAAGATAGTAGTACAGTGACCAGCAATAATTGTGGAGAAATGCTGTGAACGTAAAGCAACAAACAGAAAAGGAAACCCAAACCCAAAAGAAAAAAAAAAAAAAAAAAAAAAAAAGAAAAGAAAAAAAGAAAAAGGTCTGCACTGAGGTCCACGTCCGTGTCCAAATCCATGCACATATTGAGGTAACTCTTTCTCTCTTCTGACCCCACACTCTGGTAAATGAGTGTGTGTATGTTTGTCTGTGGTATATGGAAGTAGTGCAGTTTATCACATGGAGAGAGATTGGTCATGTGATGTAATGCATAATTTAACCCTGTATTCTCTGAGTCTACAATGAATCAGTCAAATCCAGAATAGAATCTTCCTTATTTTTCTAGCTCACTCTTACGTTACATACAAGATGTGAAATTTTTTTAGACAAGATGAAAGAAAACAAAATCATTCTCAACAGGAAAAATTAGGATTTGAATAGGATACATACGTATCTAGGATGTTCTTTACTTGTGTTGAATTTTTTTGAGCTAATAAATAGTCTAGTGATATGATCATTCGGAGAAGAAAGTGACAAAAGCGATTGTTTTGATATATACTTGTACATGTTATAATAAGGTGGTAGATAGAACCTAGTAATAAGTTCATGAGGAAGGATGGAAGGATGGTGTGGCCGAGTGACGACATTGACATTATTAGTTGTGCTAGATATGGCCTTGCTGTGAGATTGAGTCTAGGATAAGGTGACCAAGGAACATTGACAGCTAGTGATGGGCTTTTGATTCAGACAAGTTAATGTGTATGTATGTATATGCTATGGATGTTAAAAATGACTTACTTAACCGCTTGCGGAACAGCATACCTTGTGTGAGTTTTAGTTTATTTTGGTTTTTTTATTCATTAAGATCTTACATTGTTATCTCTATTGAGGGATGATACATCCATCTTAGAGAATGGCCCGGAAGATATGATCCAATTCCGGGGGCATTGTTTAGTATGACTAACATGGATGGTTGGATGGTGCATTTTAATGAGTTACTTGAATGATTTTGCCTTTCTCTAAGATGAAGTTGTCATGAGTTAATCCCCATCTACCAATGTTATAATGAACTATTATGTTGTAACTTCACTAACTTGAAGTGTGCTTTAGCTTCCTTAGTTTACTTTTTGAGTATGTGCCATAGACCAATATGCTGAGTTAGTTACATATCCCTTAAGAAGATGGTTAACTTTTTTTTTTTTTTCTAACCTTTTTTTTAATAGAAATGAAGAAACAATAGAAATACTAATCGCATGTGATGTAATCAGTTGTTTCTGTATCTTCTTACTTTGTTTTTTTGGGAGCTTGTTTATTGATTAAAAAGAGGAGGGATAAAGAAAATAAGTATAGCCTACCATTTCCATCAAATGATGATGTTAATAACTAGGTAATTCATCAAACTGTATTTTTTTTCTTCACTACTTTCTCTAAATTCATTATTATTTCTTTATCAAATTCATAAAAAGCTGTTAAATAGTACAAATCACTAAATTACTTGTAATCCTGATCAATTACAAGACAACACATTGAATACTTGAGCTCTTATGTCATGACTAACCTTCTATACGACTATACATCTACTAGTCTGTTATACTCCCTCCGTCCCAATATATAGTTGTTGTTCGTGTTTTTTCACGGTATTTAAGAAATGAGAAAGTGGATGAAGTATATTAAAAGTGGACAAAAGTTAGACAAAAGTACAAGGCAAGTGGATAATTTAAGGAGGGAAAAGTGAAAAGTACAATTATAGACAAAAGTTAGAGAGAGAAAGTGAAAAAAAGTATAAGGCAAGTGGATAATTTAAGGGTAAATTAGGAAGTTCAATGAATAAAGTTAAAAAAATGAGGGTATAATTATCTTTACATACGATCAACATTTTGGATCTTCAAAATAGGAAAATAGGAATTATAATATGAAACAGAGGGAGTATATTTATAACGTACTACCAAATACTCGTATTACTTTTGATCAACTTTTATTTGAACGGGTTTATAATCAGGGATGGTTTATTGGTTTTTGAAGTAATTTTCATATTAATTACTATTCAAAATAGTAGACCCTACTTAGGAGAATCTAGATGAGTTCATTTGTTACAGTAGAACTGTTTAACCCCCCACATAGGGAAGCAGCTGTTAGGACATAGTCCCACGCCCCACTAGAGTTGTGGCCGAAAGAGAGAAGATGAAAAGTGATTTTTTAAGGCAAAGGGTTGAGAGAAGGAACACGTTCCAACCCTTTCTCTTTCTCTTTCTCTTTCTCTTTGTAGAGTCACGGGTGTACCTTGAACAACGAAAAAACAAATGAATTAATAATAAGATTGGGATATCTACTTACTGTATACTAAACTCATATCATATGTTAGGAGATAGGAATGTTCCTTATTATAACTTTTTTCATATAAAAATGAATTTTGAGCTACTACATGTTATAATAATTTAATAGAACTTGGAATAATATTGTCCCTTTCTCTCTCATCCATTGTCCAATGCTTCTATTTTGAATATAGGATGACCCAAAGAATATTGCAGAATGTACCTTGTTTTCTTAATTATAATGCTAGTTTGTTATTCCTAGTGTATATATGTAGATTCCAATGATTCATTTTACCTCCAATGTTATGTGAAAAATGTGTTGGAGTTTTTTTCTTTAATGGAGGAAGAAATGAGAATAGACAGATAAAAACTTTGAAAAAGGGTGATGGTAAAAGTATAAAAGGGTAAATTATAAAGTAAGATACAGGCCCCTATTACTCTATTAGTATCTTTAGGAATATAAAACGTGTTTTCCTTTATTATTACTGTGAGGTAAAATTTGTGTACTTACCAGGGATAATGCTTTTATATTTAAATTAATAACTACAGTATTAGTTATGGACCTACCGGAGGATCAGAAATTTGTGAGCATGTCTTTATATGCTAAAATTTAATTAAGTTTATGGTTGGTGAGGATTGAACCCGAATCTCATTTAAGCCAGTGTAACACGAATAAGTTGAGTTGAGGTCCCCATCCCTGTAATTTCTGTACTATTTTTGCTTAACAGTAAAACAAATTCTCCTATATATTTACAGCTTCCAAGGGGGACAATCAATAGCTTAATAACTTTGATTGGATCTCATAATAGCCAAATTAAAAATACCCTAGACTTTTCTGACATGGTCATATGCTTCTTAAAGTTAGAAAGCCAGTGAGAAAGAAAAATAGAGAAGGGAAAGGAGAGTAAGAGAGAGAGAGAGAGAATCACTGCTTTTATTTTAGTGATTTTGTCATATGTTTCTGCTTCTTAAAGTTATAAAATTATGATGAGAGAGAGAGAATAGGAGTATGTAAATAGCACTAGCTAGGCAGCAGTAATAGTAGTGAGTGCAATAGCTGAGCAACAAGTAGAGCAGCTGGAGAGCATATCATATCATATAATCCCCTTCATTCTCATTTCCATCATACTATATATTATATCATCATCATCATCTTTATATCATAGTACATGCCCTAAGATCTTATCATCTTACATTATTTCAAAGAATTTACTGATTACAATGGCATTTTTAGTAGAAAGGAGTGATCCTCTTCTTCACCATCATCATCATCATCACAGCATTCATCAACATCATCTTAATCAAGAACAACACCAGAAAATGGTGTTCTCAGTGTCAGAGTCTCAGAAATCAGTTCCTGCTCCTTTCTTAACTAAGACTTACCAACTTGTTGACGATCCTCGTACCGACCACATTGTATCTTGGGGTGAAGATGAGACAACTTTCGTTGTTTGGCGCCCTCCTGAGTTTGCTAGAGATCTCCTTCCTAACTACTTCAAGCACAACAACTTCTCCAGCTTTGTCAGACAGCTTAACACCTATGTATGTTAACTACTGCTACTCAACATTCCTTTCTTAATACAAATATTTGCATGCATTGATGCTGATGTTAGGTTACTCGAATTCGAGTTCGTTGATGATGTGTTAGAGACGGGCACATGTTGTAGTGTCTGACTTGGCTATATTCTGAAAAATCTCAATGTTTTTGGTCCAAATTTAAGTTTCGAGTAATGTTCATATCCATGTTAGAGTTGAAGAGGGCTTGACATGGGTATTTGAGATGAAATGAATATATTGGGTAATATAGCATGAATGTATGCATATGAGTTTAAGCATATGTTAATGAGATTATTGATTTAGTCACTTTTTGATTCATTTGTTAAGAATCATTCTTAAGCCATGCAGTGTTTCAAGAGAAACAAAAACTGTGAATAACCATGTTTCTTGAACTTTGATGGAATCTTTGAAACATATATCAAAGCATTTGAAGGGTTTAGATTCAGTTACTTTTAGGGATTTTGTCTGTATATCTGTGTCTAATTTGGAGTCTTTGTTTGTCTTGTTGTATCCTAAATAATGTATTAGGATAAACCAATGTGAAACGAAGAGTCTGAGTAATAACGGAGAAAAGATCAATAAAACTAGTTCAAATATGGTGGAGTCCAAACCAGATTATTTCATCCTTCAATTTTTAACTAAAATAAGTTTTGCATATTTTTGTACACTTCTATTTAGAGCCTTAAGAAAAAGTTCATTTTTAAAATGGTGATCTGATCATAGTTTGAAAAGCTTTAAATTTAGACATGGTGCATTATTTTTGTTAGATTTATGAACCCAAGTTGTACATACTTAGCTTGGTTTATTTTCATTTTTATTTCCCAAGGGAATAATTGCTTGATGATTTTGTTTGAATCGATGTAGACTTTTGGTTCTCTAGGTATTTGGTAAGAAATGTCTGTTATATACATATAGATTTGTGCTACTAATGACTAATGAGTTTTTTAGTGTTAATATATTCATTTTTATTTGAAAAACCATGTGAACTGTTAGTGAGATCTCAAGATTCTCTTGCTTCTTTGTCTTGATTACTGTCCCTTATGCATCTGTATCTTATCCTACTAATATTATTCTACGTACAACTTTCTGTTATTAGTATATGCATATTTCTATTCTTGATGTTTCTCTTGACTCTTTAATATATCCATGTTCCACTTTAAAACACCACAATGTGGTGGAGGTTGCTATATGGGAGCACCTTTCCGGCGGGTTTGTTGCCTATACGGCTAGTCAGCTACATTCGTCGCTAGTATCTCTGAGATGAAGCGGGATATACATACCTACGTAGTACTCAGTATTAAATAGTTAAGACAAAAAAGAAATGTGTAGTACAATAATTCATTATAAGAAAGCCATCAAGTCTAACTATAACCATTGGATCTACAGTACATGTATTTCTTGTCTGCAAGTCCCAAGTGACACAATTATGCACTGCTTCCATTTAGATTCCGTTGTCACATTTGTAAATTATCATCATGATATAATTATTTTTGGACAAAAGGGATATTGAAAAAGTACTATTTGAGAAACAATTTGTATTCACATTTCTTCATAATTAGTGAATTGCATTACCTATTATTGAGATTTGTTTACTGCTAATATAGTAATATCCCATTAGATTGAGAAATTAACATCCTTTTTCTTGTTTTTTTTTTTAGGGTTTCAAGAAGGTAGTTGCAGATAGGTGGGAGTTTGCAAATGAGTACTTCAAGAAAGGAGAGAAACACCTATTATGTGAAATTCATAGAAGGAAAACTCCACAACACCACCACCAAATTCACTACCAAGACCAAGTATTACTTCCACAACAGTACCTTCCTTCACCGCCCGAGGAACATGGATCTTGGATAAACATTGATCAGTCTTCTCCGTTACCTTCTCCGAAGCCAAGTGGCGGGCCTAATAACGACATTCTAACGGCGTTAACGGAAGACAACCAAAGGCTAAGGAAGAGGAACTTCATGCTCTTATCTGAGCTCAACCACATGAAAACCCTTTACAATGACATTATTTATTTCATTCAAAACCATGTTAAACCAGCTGTGCCTAACAATGGAAATGACCAAAATCGCCCTCCTAATTATAATGCAATGGCAGCAGCACCTCCTAAGCTCATAGAGTTGGATGATCAAGATAATCAAGGCGACGCGAGCAAGAGAGAGACCATCAAGCTGTTTGGAGTCCCTCTTCAGAGCAAGAAAAGAATGCACCTAGCAGAAGGAAACCTTTGATATATGATGATCAAGACGACGAATATTAATTAGTATTAGTATTATGTTAAGCACTGTTATTAGCTAGATGGCTAGGATTTAACTAGTAGAGTCTTCATTTTTACTTTGTAAGATCATCAGATGAAGTTTTGGTTAATTACATAAAAAAAAAAAAGTGCTTAATTAATTAAGTTCATCATCATCATTTCCATGGATTATTGCATGAAATTTGGAGTATGTATTATCTGATAAAGTATGCCATTAGTGGCATGCATGTGTCTGAAAACTTGGGAACTAATTCACTAATTATGTTGTTGGAGAATAATTGTATTTTTGTAACAGGAATGAAGCACCTTTTTTTTTTTTGAATGTTCTATGACTTTAATCAATGACTTTGGTGTATAAATGTAAGTATATCTTGTTGTTGGTCCAAAAATATTCTAGTGCATCTTCTTTCTTTCAATTGGGATTTACAAAATTTGTGCATGGCAATAATTACAAGGTATGTTAAATTTGATACTATTGTATATGCCATAATTCCCTCCTCAAAAGCAGGGGCCACTTATAAAGATCTTTAATGGCCCGGTATCTGGAAAAGTTTTCAAGGGTGAAAGCTGATTTATTTCTTTATTTTTTAAAAAAAATTCTAACCAAAAAAAATTTTGTTAGGGTCAAAATGTGTTAAGAAAGCTTTAGTTGATTTTATTCCTGCTTTATAAATAAATCCAAAAGAAAGCTCATTGAATTTTATCCATATATCATGGCAATAAAGTTGCTTTGGCAAAAAACTTTATAAAAAGGGATGCTTTTATCTTCTTTTTGCAATTCTTTTGCTCTTGATTTGAAGTTTCTTTGTTGGCTGACTATCAAATTAAAAGTGCGTTATGAGTTGCAAACGTACCAATATCTGGTTGTGAATCATTTGCTTTTTCTTAAATTCTATCTGAAACTCCATGCAACACCTTTGCTTTTATCAATCTATATGATTCGATAACTCTCTACGATGTACTTTCAATATTCACTTCCTGGCCCCGTATCTCTACTTCCTGTTATATTGTTCGGCACACGGTACACATTGTTTGTTTGGACTGGTACAATATTATTTGCAAACTCAAAAACGAGGTTAGCACCTCACGGCGGTGTTAAAAATGCTAAGTATGGGATTGGGCCAAGGCACAACGCCTAAGTGTTTTTTACGAAAGTAAGTTTAACTGGCAAACAATTTACCAATCTAGACGCGTGGCCAAACTATTTACGAAACTGAGCTTCTGACATAAAACGCTGCCTCGGTCAGCATTTTACCTTTGGTTATTATTATTTTTTATAAAATTTCGTATTACTGAGTCAACGTTTTACACCTAAGCATAAAACGCTGCCTCAGTCAGCGTTTTATCTGCTGGCTGAAGGCAGCAACAGCAGGCCCCCAACAGCAGCCAGTGCAACCCCCTTCCACATCCACCACCCTCTCCACATCCACCAACACCACCACCCTCCTCCTCCACATCCTCCACCACCCTCCTCCTCCACATCCACCACCACCATCACCCTCCTCCTCCACATCCACCACCACCACCACCACCCTCCTCCTCCACATCCACCACCACCACCACCACCACCACCCTCCTCCTCCACATCCTCCAACACCTCCACCACCCTCCTCCTCCACATCCACCACCTCCACCACCCATCCTCCTCCACATCCACCACCTCCACATCCACAATTTATTTTGAACGAAATGAGTCAAACGTGGACAAATAAGGAATTTGAAATTCAAACAAGACATAAATTCATTCAAATAATTATTCAAATAATAATGTAATGTAAGTGTTATGTACAACAAACTAGAGAAGGTCATTACAGCAAATAAATCAGATAATTTTATCCTATTCTGACTCATCAATTTGGTGTAACGGCTCTCTATCCTGTATGTCCACTCTCGGCCTTTGACGACGGCTGTAGTGACGGATCGTGGTAAATGGGTTCGGGCGTACTGGCGGAGTCAGCTGGCTGGAAGATGGGTCATCAGGATGATGTAGGGGCGCGGAACTGCGAATGTCGTACTCCTCTGCGCCCGTGAATGACGAAGGATCACCCCCACAGCTACTCTGGCCAGCCTCGAACTGTGAGTGACTAGAGTGGCCGCCATGATCGTCCCGGGGGTGGACGAGATAGGCGTGACCATATCTCTGCAAGGTAGCCATGCCCATATCTCGCACCCGCTCGACCTGTGCTCTGGGCGGCTCAGGTATGCCTGGAAGGACATCCGACAGTGCGTCAACCATCGTCGTCATATCCAACGCCTGCAGTAATTAAGGATTTGTTAGTTGAATGATATACAAATTTAAAATTGATAAAAATAAGTTAATCAAATACACTTACATATCCCCTGATCACGTCAAAGGATGGATGGTAATGTGCGGATGGCGTTGTGTAGCTGGGGTTGATGAAACGCCGTGTAATCCGCATGTACCACTCCATGTATGGATCATATGGATCCATAACACCGTGGATGGGGTCACCAGTGACGACGAACTCCAACCGTCGATGCCACAAGTCAATGTACTGGGCATGCTCCGTCCGCCAGTTCGTAGTACATATCCCATATTTGCGACCAGCATCGTGAAACAAAGACCACATAGGCAAGGGCACTTGGACAATATACTGTATGGCCTTGGTACACGCCTGACCGATCAAACTCATATCAGCTACCAGTTTTCTTTCCTGCCTTTGGTACGCAACAGCCTTGAACATATCTCTCATGTCGTTTCTTCGCACGTGAGTCTTCAAGTTAGAAGCCAAGTGCCGAACACAAAACCTGTGATAGGCTCGCGGCTCGGTGAATCCAATGTTAGGGTCATTCATTGCTGCAATGATCCCAGCATGTCGATCAGATATAACACAGAGGCCATCCCGTTGAGTGACATGAACCCGAATGCAGCCCAGAAACCAAGACCAGCTGAAAATGTTTTTTCCTTCGACTAACGCAATGCAAGCGGAAATACTTGGAAGTTTGCATCCACACTTGTAGCAACCAACAATGTTCCTTTAAATTTTCCGTACAAATGCGTCCCATCGATACAGATGTCAGACATACAATGTTTAAAACCTTCAACACAAGGGCCGAAGGCCCAAAATACTCGTTCAAACACTTCCATGTTGCTGTAATAAACACCGTCTACCAGAGCTTTGTGTTTCCATACATCAACGGTTCCCGGGTTTGACTGTTTGAGTGCTTCCATGAATTGCGGAAGTCAGCCATAAGAACTATCCCAATCTCCAAATACTTCAGCTATGGCTTTCTCCCTAGCATACCATGCTCTTCGATAAGTAACGTCGAACTAAAAATGCTTGTATATGAGTTCCTGTATAAATTCAACTTTCAAGCATGGATCTTTCTGCACAAAAGACTTCACAAAATCGGAAATTATGGATGAATCCAAGTGTGCATGATCTGTAGATAACACTTCAGTGACACAGGTGTCCCGGTGCGGGCCTTTGTATGTGACTATGGTAAAGCCGTCTGAGTGCTCACTTTTTTTGGTGCCTCGTAGCGACCAACCACAATTCTTCTTGCACCGCAGATGAAGGACCTTCTCATTCGAGGTCACTGTGGTGTAGAATTGGTTCCTTTGTATAGAATACTTCTTCACCATTTCCTGAAGCAGTTTCTTAGATTCAAAGAACATACCCTTCTCAAACTCCCCCCCGATCACAAATGTTGTATGACTACCTGATTCGGCCCAATATTGATCAACCTCATAATTCTCATTTACTTGACTTAACCAAGGAATAGGAGTTCTAACCATGGCCTCCCCACCTTCCATGTCTGTAGAATCAACATCCATGTTATCCAGAATTGGTTCCTCCTCTTCGCTCTCAACCTCATCATTTGTTTCCCGGAGCGCATCATACAGAGACAACTCGTTATTCACCATATGTTATAGATTTTCAAGATGATTCACCAATGGTTGAGACGGTGATGTATGGTGGAACATCTACGACAATGTTTGGCCAATCTGGGCCTTCGACATCGAACACAGTTATATCTTCTCAACCATATACAGGTGAAGCTATATGTGAACTCAACGGCATCTGGAACCGATCGTCATGAAGCAGTCTGCTGAAGGACCCTATCCCATATTCAATTGATGGAATGTCTTGTGAGGGCATTCGGAAGGACTTTGTGTAACCGAAAAAATAGGTAGCTTGTTGATCTGGTCGAGTACTTTGTTGCGTACACGTAGACACTATTTCTACATATATCTCATGTGGATAACCCCTCATTAAAACAGCGCTCCTCAAAGCTTTCAAATGTCTATCGTTAGAACAAGGTAACACTTGAACCGCATTATTAGTCTCAAACCTCATTTGAATGTTAAGTTGTACATTCATTGGGTTTAAGCCAATAATGCTATGAACCTCGTTCATCAAATCGTTGAAAGTCATGTCCAGTCCAAGTGGCAATGGTTCCATATTTCCACCACTATACTGGACATATGGTCCATCAGACACAAATTCACCCCCCCATTGGCATAACAAAGCTGCGTTTTGTGCAACCATATTCTATACAACAACCAAAAACACATCTTAATTGCATGCAATCTCCACCAATTCGCACAAAAACAACCAAGATATTCACACTATAAACATAATTAACCAACATTGTTCCAATTCACATTACAACCACAACAAAGTACACAACGAACATATTCACACTATAACAACCAACATATTCTACATAACAAAATTTTCGTAATTAAACAACAATGTAGGCTACTTTATCAAACTAAAACAACAATTTCATCAACATTATCAACAATTTCATCAACATTTTCAACAATTTTATCAAACATTTCCACAATTTCATCATAAACTTTCTTACTAAACTAACATCAATTTAGGGCTTTTATACTAGACAATTATCAAATTACAACAAACCAACTTAGAATTATCAACATAATTGTCAATTTACATCAAACTAACTTAGAATAAACAACAACATTATCAAATTAAAACAATGTAGTATATAATTATCAAACTAACCTAGGTTTTTAAATTTTAAAAACAAATAAGTGAGAAGTACTAACAATGTGATTATAAAGAAGAGGAGAGGCGCGGCGGCAGCAGGCAATAGGCGGCGGCGACGGCGGCGACGGCAGAGCTTTGAGGAAGATAGGCTATTGCGTGAGGAAGAGTGAGTTTGAGTTTTTAGTTTTGAGGAAGAGTGAGTGCGCGAAAAATATACAAGGCGAAACCGCTGACTCAGTCAGCGTTTGACAAAAACGCTGACTGAGGCAGCGTTTGACAAAAACGCTGACTGAGGCAGCGTTTTTATGTATTTCCATATTTTTTTAAAAAAAAAAATTGAATTTCACTAAATAAGAAATTTTTTAAAAAATAATAACAGAGGTAAAACGCTGACCGAGGCAGCGTTTTACCTCAGAAGCTCAATTCCGTAAATAGATTGGCCACACGTCTATATTCGTAAATAGTTTGCTAATAGGGATCAGTTTCGTAAAAAATCCGGGGTATTGGATGGTGCATCCCAGTCTAGGCACGACCATGT